CTCTTTAGCTTGAATTTTGTTGTGAAGATGTTACCTCGCTCTGATGATGTTCGTCATATGATGGACGAAAGCTTAGCACCTTTTCACCGGAATCTAGGAGATTGCCTCGGAAACAGCGTCAGCATGAATGTTCCAGTAAAGCCAATCGACAGCTGGTCAAGAGGACTCAGATTGCCTCGGAAACAGCGTCAGCATGAATCTTCCAGTAAAGCCAATCGACAGCTGGTCAAGAGGAATCTGCGATTGCCTCGGAAACAGCGTCAGCATGAATCTTCCAGTAAAGCCAATCGACAGCTGGTCAAGAGGAATCCACCGTTGCCTCGGAAACAGCGTCAGCATGAATCTTCCAGTAAAGCCAATCGACAGCTGGTCAAGAGGAATCCGCAGTCCTCGGAAACAGCGTCAGCATGAATCTTCCAGTAAAGCCAATCGACAGCTGGTCAAGAGAAATTCGCCGTTGCTCGGAAACAGCGTCAGCATGAATCTTCCAGTAAAGCCAATCGACAGCTGGTCAAGAGGAATCCGCCGTCTTCTATGATGTTCGTCATATGACGGACGAAAGCTTAGCACCTTTTCACCGGAATCGAAGAAGATTACCTCGGAAATGCATGAATCTTCCAGTAAAGCCAATCGACAGCTGGTCAAGAGGAATCCGCCGTCGTCTTCTGGTGGAATCGAACTTCGAATCTCTTCACCCACATGAATCTTCCAGTAAAGCCAATCGACAGCTGGTCAAGAGGAATCCGCCGTCGTCTTCTGGTGGAACCGCCTTGCTCTGATGATTTTCGCCATATGATGGACGAAAGCTTAGCACCTTTTCACCTGAATCGAAGGAGATTATCTCGGAAATAGCGTCACCGGATGACGGACGAAAGCTTAGCACGTTTTCACCAGAATCGAAGGAGATTGCCTCAGAAACAGCGTCAGCACAAATCTTCCAGTAAAGCCAATCGACAGCTGGTCAAGAGGAATCCGCCGTCGTCTTCTGGTGGAACCGACCTCCGATTCCAGTAAAGCCAATCGACAGCTGGTCAAGAGGAATCCGCCGTCGTCTTCTGGTGGAACCGACCTTCGAGTCCCTTCAC